TCCAGAGCAGCTTTTCTCGGTACACATTGGGCTCAAGTGTACCTGTTCCAGTGGCAGAAACAATTCCTTCAGTGCTATAGGGCTGTCTCAGTCTCATGTGCTTTTAGACAATTCAAAATGTTTTACATGAAAGTACTGTATGGGATACCTTCATTTATTTAGGTTTTTGAGACTATCAATAGCCAGCAAAATTATTAGGGCAGTGAACAAAAGGCCAACATAAAATATAAAACCATATGAGAACAAACAGAAGAGCATAGCAACAGTACAAAAAATAGCACAAAACCTGAGCAAAATATGTGTGGGTTTTTTTTTTCTTGAACAGGAAATATCCTCACTGGGGAAAATCTGCTAAGTGCAAATCCTCAACTGTACTTAAATGGGCCAGTTTTATAAAAACTTGATGGCCTTACAGGCCCCTACCAACTTCATTATTGTATGATTCATTTTTAAATTAGGTAGCTGGCTGCCAATCCAAATGTTGCAAGTTCAGTTCCTCAGAAGAGCCAGCCTGTGTAACATTGGGCAAATTGCACAGTCTAAAGATACCCTCAGAACGGTTAACCATTTCTGAGAACTCTATACCTGAAAAACCCTGAAAAGGATCGCCATAGGTCAGAATTGAGTTGATGGTACACAGTAGAACAGAATGTCTCACACATACTAAGCACACATACATGAGAACAAGACACAGTAAACTCACTGTGACTCAGTTCCAAACAATTATGCATAAGATTGGGCTATGAAGGGAGATGGAGGGAGTTAAAATTGTGAGTGCTTTTACATGTATCCAATAGTGCATCTAATTGGCATACTAAATTCAAAACACATTTCAACAAATGCCTTTTCCAAATACTCTCCGCTCTCTTAATAATGTCATATGGCGTAATGCTCTCTAGTAAAAAAAAAGTCTAATGTATTTTGGCTTCTAGCTCTTTATTGTACAGGAACATCCACACTTTATTAGAGGTCAAATATTCTTAGGTCATCTCTCACATGATGCATAGGCCATCTATGTTCATAAATATTTTAGAATATCTTTTCATGTGACAACAATGAAGAAATGGCACTTGGCTACAATGTAAAGCAGTGAGTATACAGCTTGTATAACTGTAAATGTGCTCTCCCCTCAAAATAACACAACACACAGCCATTAATGTCTAAACTGCTGGCAACAAAAGTGAGTACACCCCTAAGTGACAATGTCCAAATTGGGCCCAAGTAGCCGTTTTCCTTCCCTGGTGTCATGAGACCATTAGTGTCACAAGTCTCAGGTGTGAAGGCGGAACAGGTGTTATCACTCTCACTCTCTCAGACTAGTCACTGGAAGTTCCACATGGCACCTCATGGTAATGAACTATCTGAGGATCTGAAAAAAAATTATTGTGGTCTAGGCTATAAGAAGACTGCCCAAACCCTGAAACTGAGCTAAAACACACTGGCCAAGACCATACTGTACAGTGGTTTAACAGGACAGGTCCTACTCAGAACAGGCCTCTTCATGGTCAACCAAAGAAGCTGAGTGCCCATGCTCAGCATAATGTCCAGAGGCTTATTCATTCATTCATTCATTCACTTAATTAATTAATTAATTTTTTATGCCACCCATCTGACAAATCGTTACTCTGGGTGGTGTACAACAGAAATAAAGAAACATAAATTGTATAAATATAATTGTAAAAACTACAACAAACTCCTTGCAGAAGAACAGGCTGTTAGAAATTCACAGCAACTCATATATAGTTTCAGGAATCCAATAGCATGTTGATAACTGCCTGTTATTTTCCTATTCAGCAGTATTTGAAGTTTTCCCTTTCTTTACAGGAAAAGGTAAACATCCCTCAAAAATGACTTTTCAATTATAAAACCCCAGATTCCAAGACAAATTGACCTCCTTCAGGCAGTTTTTATATACCACCCAGGTCAAAAGCACAGTTTTCATTAAGGCTGACTTTTTCAAATGATGAATGGAACAAGCCTTCTCAAACTTCCTTCTCATGTAAGGACAACAGGGTTATTTTGAGAGAAGTTTTAATTGGCTGGTTGAGCTAGTTATGATGATTATGATGATGATTCATAGAGAGCAATTACAGTATCAGGCCCTGTTCTCCCTTCTCATAATTTTTTCATCTTTAAACTGGACATTCATTGGATGTCCTTTCCACACAGAGGACATTTTCACACAGATGAGTCCTCTGACATCTGTTAACAAGGAACATGTCTACTGGATCATGCTGCCCCCCCCCCGCAACAAATCGCACTTCATTGCACTCCATCAGGTGTGTCTATGGACAACTTCCTGCTCAGAGCTCTAAGTAAAGTGCTCTACTCACTACCAATACATTTCTAGTACAAAAAATGTTTAAGCCTATAATTAATACAAATAATTATCTGGAAATCCTTTAGAATCCCATTGTGAAAGCACCCCTTCTGGTTTTATACCCTAATAGATTGGTTCACTGCCCTTCATTTTCCTCTCAGACCAAAGGTATACTTTTTCCAATATTTAATCCACTACCCTATTTGACACCTTAGGGCTTGAAGCTCTGCTGGCATTAAACATTCTGTGTGATCACTTGACTTGCCCTTATGCAAACCAAAGATGCAATGAACAGGGCTTTACACTTTACAGAAGGAGGTAGCCACGCCTCCTTGCTCAACAATAATAATAGTCATGTACTATCAAGTCAATTCTAACTTACAGTATATCACAGAAGTGAGCACGACACCTCACATTTCATAAATATTTTAGAATATCTTTTCATGTGACAACAATGAAGAAATGGCACTTGGCTACAATGTAAAGCAGTGAGTATACAGCTTGTATAACTGTAAATGTGCTCTCCCCTCAAAATAACACAACACACAGCCATTAATGTCTAAACTGCTGGCAACAAAAGTGAGTACACCCCTAAGTGACAATGTCCAAATTGGGCCCAAGTAGCCGTTTTCCTTCCCTGGTGTCATGAGACCATTAGTGTCACAAGTCTCAGGTGTGAAGGCGGAACAGGTGTTATCACTCTCACTCTCTCAGACTAGTCACTGGAAGTTCCACATGGCACCTCATGGACGGATGCAAAAGTTAATTTGGCTTTGATCTGACTTTTCGTTAATTAATGGTGAATTTTTCCCCCCAACTTTGGACAGCTGTCAAAATCTGACATCTCCATTATTTCCTATGAGGGAAGAAAAAATTCACAAAAAATTAATGAAGACTCAGCAACTGTTCTAAATGCTTGGATTCGTTAGAGGACCCCCTAAGTCGTGTGCAAACCTGATTCGGCTTTGATCTGAACTTTCGTTAATTTATGGCGAATTGTTTTCTCCCCCATAGGAAAGCATGGAGCTGTCAGATTTTGACAGGTCCATTGGTTCCTATGGGCCGAAAAAAAAATTAACCATAAATTAACGAAAAGTCAGATCAAAGCCAAATCAGGTTTGCACATGACTTAGGGGGTCCTCTAACGAATCCAAGCATTTAGAACCGTTTTTGACCCTTCTAAGACACTTTTTTAATTGAAAAAAGAAACATCGTTAAGTGAAGCAGGGGACCTAAAATTGCATTCGTTATGCGAAGCATGGTCCCCAACTTCGCTAAGCGAAAATCGTCCATAGGAAACATCGTTATACGGTGCATATTATTTTCTAAAAAAACACATCGTTATGAGAATTCATCGCTAAACGAGGCAATCGTTAAGCGAGGCACCACTGTATTTTGAGGGGAGAGCACATTTATACTGTTTTGCAAGATGTATAGTCACTGCTTTGCATTGTAGCCAAGTGTCATTTCTTCAGTGTTGTCACATGAAAAGTTATACTAAAATATTTATGAAATGTGAGGGGGTGTACTTACTTCTGTGATATACTGTATGGTAGCCCTTTTTTTGACAGTTTTCCAGGTAGAGAATACTCAGAAGTAGTTTACCATTCCCTTCTTCTGGGGGGAGCCCTGGGACCATACAGCTGGCCCAAGGCCACACAGGCTGGCTTTTCTCCCAGGAGGCACAGTGGGGAATTGAACTCCCAGCCTCTGACTCTGGGGAATTGAACTCCCAACCTCTGACTCCACAGCCAGATAAGCTGTTGAGCTCTCCAGCCAGCCTTGTTCAAGTTCCTTGCTCAAGTTCTGAAAAATTCTTGGAAAACAGTCCATTGTGCAAGCAGACTAGACAAACAATATATTAGCCAGAGTATTTATGCTTTTAAAAAGTAATGATCATCATAAAAAAATTAATGAATTTTCAAATTTATCCAAAATGTGGATTTGTAGACTATGTAATAACCACCTCCTCTAGACTATGAATTGTTTTTTCTTGCAAATATTTTGTAAAAAATTACTCAAGTAATAATCTAATAATGAGTTAAAATAAGTATCTGTTTAAGGAAGTGTACCTGCCAAAATATTTCAAATTTTTTAAATCATTTTTTTAAATAAAGAGTGCTTCCGAATGTTACAACCTATTCTCTCACTGGAGTTTATTGACTACTAAGGGCGTTTAGAACTAAAGCTTAAAATGTGAGATGCAATTCCAAACTTCCAATATAGACTGACAAACATTTATTATCCCCATTATTTTCTAAAAGTAAGGTCTGCACTCTGTTCTCAAACTATAGTGCTTTTTTCCATCCAATACTTTTGTTTAACAAAAGTATTGGATGTTGTTTGTTTAACATCTCTGAAAAGAGATGTTTAACATCTCTTTTGTTGTTTAACATCTCTGAAAAGTTTTAAAAGAAAGCACTGAAATATTTTCCTTTTCAATAGAAAGATAAATAATGTGTTTTTATACAAAGGCTAGATTTATTGGTAGTAAAGGTAGATCATGATCCAAATTGGGGGGTGGTGGTTTTCATCCCCTCAATTTTCAGGGTGATGTATTCCCACAGTTTCACCCACATGTCACTTATAGTCAAAAACGTCATATCACACTTGATGGTACAAAAAATCCTGAGTGTTTTATCGACACTTCATACTGTGCTAAAGGTAAAGATCTGCTTACCATTTAAGCTTCCCACATAACAGTAGGCATCATAAGTTTCATTTGAAAGACGATATCCATAGGATCTGACTCCTTCCTTCCCCATCATGTCTCCATAGCAGCCAACTCTAGGCTGCCTAATGGGATATCTGCAGGTCAGGAAAGGAAAAGTGAAGGTGTGAAAGTCAAGTAAGGCTGATACAGAAGTGTTCCTTTTCAGTAGGCAATTTCCAGAAGATTATACCTTGTAGAAAACCCTAGAATTCCCCACTGGGACAGTTTCTGATTTTAACAGGAACCTAGGCTGTAGCTAGGCCATTAAGTCTCCAAGCTGGACTTTCTCCAAGGAAGCAAAATGTAGGTGTACCTGCAGTTGTCTGTAGGAGTAGGTCTGTAGGCTGAAACTCCCTGAATTCCGTTTGGGGAATTATTGAAGAATTTTGGAGTTGGGGGTCCAAATTGTACTGTGGAGTTTTATTTGCAACTTTGCATGCTGTCTGTGGTTTGTGCGACTGGGAGGGACCTGTCTGGGCTAGGATATATCCAGCACTAACCAATTGTTCCTTCCTTTGAATTCAGAGTGCCCCATCTCTGCTGAGTGTTTCTTTCTCTCACCTGGTTGCTGGCAGTTGTTTCTTGTTGATCAGTTCAGTTGGTTGCTAAGTATATGTGCAGTAAAGAAAGCAGCATGCAAAAATCAGTAATTTCAAAAACTGTAAGTAAAGAAATGTTTTTATTCTTTCTCCTACAAATGTCTCGGAGTGACTTATTGAGACTTTAAGTGCCAGTTAATGAGAAAGAGTGGACTCTGGGGGACTTGTCATTATTCTCCTCTGTGGGTCTCTGTACAGTATTTCTATTACATAGCAAAAGAAATTTGACCAGAAATTAAAAACTGTGCCACAGGGACATCCCTAGAAGTCAATTTATCGTCTTACCTAACAGTTTGATCAGACAACCAGCCAGCATCACATTGCTCAAATCCATCTTCATATGCAGCTTTCAGCTGATCAGGGGTTGCTATTACAGCACCATTCTCCAAACAAGCCTCTTGAGCCTGCTGGAAGTTCAGGGTGTATCTACTGGTTGCTGCCCGGTAGTGAAACACAACACCTAGAAAAACAGTAAACCCACATTAGTCACTCATATCACATGAATAGTTGTTACTCTTACAGCAAAGTTATTCTAGCCTAGTTAGACATCAGGTTTAGAAACGGTGACTGAAATCCAGTAGCAACTCACATCTAGAATTGGCCTATTGAATCAGTGTGGGTTATAATCAGTTATTTCAAATGTACAATTCATCTAAGCTCACAATTACAGTAGTTTGCTAATAGTTAGCAAGACAATAGCTGAAGAAAGCCCAAATAATTGCACATTCCTTCTGTTATCAGGAGATGGCAGGAGCCCAGTTCTGCAAGAATGTTTCATATTTATCCAATTTAAATACATTTATAATTCTTTTTTTCCTGCTAGTTCAACCATCCATGTAATAGCAATAAAATTAACAGCATTTTGCTACTACTTTATATTGAAATATGCCTGCTCATAACAATGCTACATTGCCAGGTAGTTAGAAACATTGACTGTTTTCCTGAAGGTTGAAGAAGGTTGAACGTTTAAGACCCATCTGGCCTCATAACAGATGGTTACCCGCAGTCAATCCAACTATAAAATAGCTTGATCTATTGCTTCAAGAATACAAATGACAATCAAATCTACCACTGGCTAGTTCTCTATCTCTATGCACAACAGGCCATAGCAACTGGTGTCTAGGTTAATGAACTAGAAAATGCCTGCAGATGGACTTTGACCACAAATAGATGGAGTGATTGATTTGGTCAGCATGTATCTTGATCATCATTAAAATGTAATTGTCAAGCTAATTTACATTGTGACCTTTAAGAGTCCATGATTCTCAAGGATTTCTGGCTTGATGTGACCCAATTTCAGTTTTTATGTATGTGCAGCTAGCTACCAGACAGATATAAGTTTTTTTTGTTTGTGTGTGATTTTTCCTTCACAGTTCTTTCACAATTTTCTCCTAAATAGGTATAATTTAAAATGTAGATAGTAACATGATATATAAATCTTTGATGTCTGAGCAAAATAGAATTAAAGTTCAGAAATAGAAACATTATGCTGAAATTGCCAATGTATATTTACTCAGAAATAAATTCCACTAGTTATCAAACTTCCTGGCAGAGAAGGGTCAAGGTACTACTCTAATGGTTGGGATTCTTGCAAATTGAGAAACCAAGTCACAGATCTCCCTTATATATGACTTTGGGCCTTCAGAAATAGTTCCATCTGAAATATCTGTACTTGCAGATATTTGCTCTGTTCAATATTTTGCATCATTAGTATTCCATTAATGAGGAAAGTAGTGAGTGGCAGAGATGATGCTTAACCTGATTGTTTCTGTTTAATTTAATACTTTATTTAAATACTTTTATCTGGAAAATCAATTTTTGTGATTTATAAAGTTTGAAATTTTATGCACTCAAATGGAATTCTTCTGCTGGAAGAAAGACAGGATATAAATTAAATAAATTAAAAAAATTTTAAAGGTACTGCAGCCATATGACTCTAAACAGTTCACAACTGCCAATGCATGGGCCACCTCCAGCCATAGCATTCTGTGTTATTTCGTTGGAAACACAGAAAGGGTGTAACAATATCTCCACTCCTATTCAGTCACATAAAAATCTTCATTTTTTTTCTTCCCATTGTGTCTATTTGTTGTAAGAACTCCCTCACAGAGTCAACAAATAAAGAAACCGAGGAGCAAGTGACAGTATAATAGTTTTACTGAAATCCAGGCAAACACGGTTAATTTGCATTCTAGGGAAAGAGCCAACAACAGTTCCTGGAAAACTGATATTAACGTGCACCTGAGTGTTTTAAAAATCGTGCAAGGATTATGTGGGATTCCATCTTGACATTTTATGTTAAAGTTCTGTATTTCACATGCACTTAGCTCTTGGAATAAAGTACGGCTGAAAATCCAAAAAAGCAAATTATTTTTTAATCTTAAAAACTGACAAAATCAATTGTTCCATATGTAGGATTATGCATTATTATTGCCCACCTCTTTTTAAAGTTTCAGTGTCTGTGGTGCAATTTTTAAAAAAAAAATAATTTATGTCTTATAAAGGTATCTGTAACAAAGCAATGAGTTTACTGAACATCTTTTTCCTAGTGTATTTATGAATGAGCCAACAACTGATGAATAAAGTGGCCTATCAATCAACAAGTTTGTGTAGTCATCCATCTTATGCAGAGATGGAAAATGTTTCAAACACACAGGCATAAATTATTGTAATATAGTTTAAAAATTAATGTATCTATATAAATGCATAGGTGTGTTTGGTGAGGAAAAGGGAGACGGCCTTCTCTCTTGCCACTCCCAGACTTTGGAACTCCCTGCCACCCTCCCAAGGTGGCCCAACGCAAGCAGGCGAAGATCTTTCTCATCAGGCAAGCTTTCCGTTAGTGACTGGCTACCTCAGTGGGATTTTTTTTTAATAGATTGCTGTGCCTTGCTGATTTGAATTGTCTTTTTGGCGTAGCTTTTGTTTACCGTCTTTTAGTGCAGTATTTGTTTGATCCTTTTTAGTATTTGTATACTTACTGTTAGCTTTAAATACTGTCTTCTACTGATGTAAGCCACTTTGGGTCTTTTTTAAATTTCACGGGGGAGGGTAAAAATATTTTAAATAAATAAACAATCAGAAAACTGGATTGTGGTGGAGCACTAAAAAGAGGATTGTGACGTGACTAGTTTAAAATGGCTTGTTTACTCCTGTGCCATTTGCAGTTGTTTGATCTACAAAAATAAGCAAATAAAGCTCCTTGACAGTAGCAGCAGCATCAGGTCAGATTGCTGTTTAAGCAATGAGAGCAAGGACTGATAAACATGCTGAGGACTCTACTGACAAATTATGGCACAGCGTCTGCAAGTCAAGGAGGGATTAAAAAAAGATTGAAAACATCCAAAAGTAAGGTAGGAAGTTTTTTTCACATTCCTCCTTTCCACTGGCATCACTAGGAACTCTCCTTAAAGGCCCCAAAAGCCTTAGAGGGCAATGGGGTACAAGGGGTTGGTGTCGAAAAGGCAATGCTGTGTGGGTGATGGAGAGAAAGAGTAATATTAGGGACAGGGCTCAGAGATATGTGGGTGAGAGGTGGAGGGGACAAAAGGTGTGAGAAGGAATGCAGAGCAACCAGTGAAATGCAGAAGCAAAAGGGAATAGCAGTAGAACCATACCGCCCATCTTATCCCTCTAATGTCTGCACACCGTGTGGAACCTCATCTGTCGGGCTACATGTATGCATATCTGTGTGTGTGCACAGACTTACACACTCATGATTTCTGCTGGTGTGATGTGATATGGCTATAGATAGACACATACAGGCCATAAGCACCTCTTGCTGAAGCTCTGTTCTCCATGCATGTTCTGAATGTCCCGTAGAGGGTAGAAAGCCCACCAGTGGTTTTGTGAACATAGTCAAAGTGCTGTTGATGAGTAAAGGGGAAAGTTTTTGGATGAAGAAACAGAGAAAACAGAAAGGGAGCAGCTAAGAAACACAAGGCAGATTGAAAAGAGCAACAAAACACATGCACTCAACACACACAAGAAGGGAGAGCATGGTAACCCCGCCCATCTCCATTCCTGGTTCTAATGCTTGCCTTATACATGGAAGGCAATAGTTTGAATTGGAGACGTTGGCTATCTATAGGGGCTCTCCAGGTGAGCTGGACTTTTTCCAACTTATAGGGGGACCCACAGCTGATAAAAAAGGCTTTGTATTTCATACATAGGCCCTTCATACATAGGAGGGGTTGCCAAAGTGGCAGCAGAGAAAGGAAAGAGCTAATGCTAAGGTTAGGTACACTTTGATAGTGACAGAAAGAAGTCAGTGTGAGATATAGTCTGCAATGGCACTGAGAAGAGAAATAGAGAGTGAGCTATATTGAGTATGCAGAAGGAAGAAGATTCACCAAATGAGCTGAAGAAAGCACTGGACTTTGAAAAGGACAAAAATGCTTTTCTGAGAGAAAATATATAGCTGGGAAGTCGGTAATATGAAACAAACTTTAATATGATTGTTTCTAGAAATCCATTCAGGGGTAGATCAGAAAAAAAAAATTGCATTTGTTTACAAGAGTCCTGGCATTATCTTCATAGCTTGGAAATGCTTGCACGCTTTATGGAGGATATGTGCAGCTATCTCTTTATGGGGAAGGAAGGAAGGAACAACATCTGAGAGAAGCAACAGAAATCAGGACTCAGTAACATCTGTATCACATATCAGAAATTAGTTACTTAGAAAGATAGAATCAGAGACTTGAACAGTCTACTTGACTGCTTTTCTGTCAGTTGTAGTCTAGTAGTTCAGGTTACTTGTTACAAGAGATAAAGAGATAAAGGTTGAAGAGGGATTATTTCATATCTCAGCATTGTTTCTATGCGTCTAAGGTGTGCAGAAGCCATAAACCCCATGATCAACTGTTGCTCTAACACAAGTAGGAAAACCAGCCCTAGTGCATCTTTCTAGACCAGTGGATCTCAAACCTGGGTCCCTAGATGTTCCTGGACTGCAACTCCCAGAAATCTTGACCAGCACAGCAAGTTAGCGAAGGCTTCTGGGAATTGCTGTCCAAGAACATCTAAGGAGCCCAGCTAAGAACCATTGATCAAGACCAGCATTCTATGTATGCCACAAAAAAATCTCACTAAAGGATATGAGAGAGTTGAGTCACTGTTGCTTCCCTTTACCTTTCATCCACTGTTGCTCTGCAGTAGTTTACTGATTCTAAATAGACATGTTCTATTACCAGAACAGTTCAAATGGAACAGCCTGTTTCTTTATAAACCATGGAAATGGAGCTTTATTCTCCTAAGTTTCCACTCTGTTTATCCTCTTCCCTTTGCTTGCATTCTAGAATGGATGACTTTTGGGGTTTGTGAAACAAATCTGATCCAAATTTCATATCTTGGTTAATAAACAAGATATCAAACCACTGGTTTTTGCTTGAGATGTAACAGGAAACAGTGGTTTAACAAGTCTTTAATTCTGGTGAATGAGCTAAGATATGAGAAGAATGGAAGGTGTGCAGAAGCCATAAACCTCATGATCAACTGTTACTCTAACACAAGTAGGTACAAGGAGGTATCTTAGAAAACATACAGAAAATCAAATGTAAAATCTGTACATGGATTAATCCATAAAGGTTTTGTAGAGAGGAGTATGTGTAACAAAACAAGCCAATACTGCCTCTATTCTTGTTACATTTCCCCTTAAGATCTACTGTGGATGAACTGTTCTCTTTTCTCCATCAACATCATTAGAGGGCAACCTGGCTGACATTCCTCTGTTGTTTCAGTTGCCTTTGCAAACCAACACTGCCCTGACATGAGTTGCAATGCTCAATATGTCATTCACAGTAAGTAAAACACAAATTCAAAAGAAAGAGTGCTTTGGAAAAAACCCGAAAGCCCTCGGAAAGACTTCAAAAGATTTGCAAAGGTCTAGACTGCCAGTGGGTGGCAGGTGACATCTTTATGCACAGCTTTTATTTTTCTCTTTTAAACCCTCATTAACTCAGGGTGTCAGCAATAGATCAACCTTTTCTATGTCTCCCTCCCTGATGTGGAAGGAGGAACGGTTTTCATGGGTATCAGCCTGCTTGTTTGGCTTCGATTCAACAGCAAGTGGGAAGAAATATATTTTAAAAAGAGAAAGTGCTGGCTGAGAGGGTGGTGGAGAGTGATCTTCCTCCATTCCTTTCAGAGCAGGGAGGTTGTGTTAGAATTTGACTTCTGTTCTTTGCTGCTGTCAAATTTGGGCATAAGTCAAGATTTTTTTTCTCCCTTTCACTTTAATAAGAGCTATAAGATAAGTGCTTTTCTGCAGAACTTACATAAGAGAGAATTTAAAGGTAGTTTGTTTCTTGTCTGTTGAAGTAGTAGGAGAATCCAAATCACATGTACTCAAGGAGTACACAATTCAAATCACTACAAGGTCTTCCCTACAGTTTTTTTGTTAAGCAAGTTAAGAAATTTGCACTGTGGTATCAGCCATGGGAGATACAAACTCAGCATCAAACTACTGTACTCTGCTTCTATAAAATTGCAATATTTTCCTATAACTGCTAACATGATTTGCTTTGCAACTGTTTTGCTGGATTTTCATCTGGATAGACTTAGTCATCTCTGAAAGTTTCACTTGCTCTGGTCAAAACTCACATGGAGGGTATCCTATATACTTTAGCCATCCCAGCTGAGAAATGAAACTCAGAAACATAATGGCATTCTGTGCCACTGTGAATCACCATCAGCTTAAAGGCAAAGAAACCGGAGGGAGGGGGACACTTATATCTAAGAATTCCCAGCATTTTGAAGTCTAGTCAGTCATCTGTTGTCATGAATACTTGCCCTTTTATAGCTGTCAAGAAGACCTGGTATTTCTTTTGTGCCAGCAAACATCATCACTGTGTAACTGCTTAAGAGAGACTTAAGCTGCTACATATCTACCCGCTCTTTTGTGCCAGCAAACATCATCACTGTGGAACTGCTTAAGAGAGACTATGGTAAAGTTTCTACCCTTTGCTGACTTTTGATGACCTTTCATGGAACAATCTTGGTTCCTGAAAATTTCCCTTGCAAGGAGGGTGGATGTCTGAAGCCCTAGGGCTAAATCTGACCTCCTTGAGTCCCACTTTGGCCCTCTAGAGTTTCTGGACGGCCATGCCCCCTTCCTCATGACATCACCATTCAGTGTTTTCTCAGGTATTGCATAGATCTGAAACACTGAATCACTTCTCCTTAAGATTTGGCTACCAGGAGTGAGAGTTTAAACTAAAGTAGTACTGGTGTTTGGATCTAACCTCTAGTGAAATTCAAAAACTTCTTGAGAACACCCACTCAAGCACTTCCATGAAACTGAACTCAGACTCCCTTCCCCAGTGCAGTGACTTTGATTTAGAGATAACAAACTTCAGGTAAATACAAGGAAGAGCATGCAGAGGAGAAAAGTGCAAAGCTAGACCCTATTTTGTGACTCTTTTGTGACCAAGCCCTATTGGTCAGGGCTTGAGTGTTAGAGGAGGGGTACAGGGATTTTGGGAAAGAGTAGTGAACTTCCTGTGCCTGTTTAGCAAGCTCATCAACCATTGTGTTGCTGCACACTCAGGATCTAAATTACAGCTTGGACGAATCAGCCTGGAAATGTTTCAAAAGAAAGATCCTAAATGTTTTTCACTATTTTTAGCCATCCCCATAGCAAATAGCTTGTCTGAGTCATCTGGTTTATTTTACTCAATTCTTCCTTGCCTCCAGGTACTCTGGATGTGAGTCACCTTGCACATTTTTCAGTGTCTGTTTTGTCACAAAACTATCTGAATTTCATTATACAAGCAAACAGGAGGGGAGGGGGAGTGTTAATATTTGGTGTAGCTATATATAGATTTTAAGCACATATGGCAACAATTCTGGTCCCACTCTTACCAACTCATTAGAAATTAATACATTTTTATTTTGTTTTTTGGTGGATGGTTTGGGGGGGGTTGTTGTTTTTGAGCTTGCATTCAGTTTAAATTCATAAATTCTCTAATAAAAGGAAATTTGCCACCATAATAGGCTACTATGGTGGAACAGCTGTAATTCTTGATGATTAACTGCAGTTAATGGACAGGCAGATGGATGTTTCACCATAACCCTTGCTTCCCTTCCCACTTCCCATTATAAATTCCTTCAGTCTGTTCCCTGCCTGTCTTAATCACACAAAGTGTCATGTAAGCATTGTTGTAAATGGGCACTAATGCTGACTAAGGTTCCCTCTTGACCAACAATTCCAAAGTATAGCAGCAAACCGGGGTTAGGAGGTTCAATTGGTTTAAAAAGTAGACTGAAGAAATATTTAACTATGGTTAAAGCCATGAAGGAGATGGGCAAGATTGGGCACAAAGTGCCATCGCATGTCCAACTCTTGGTCTTTGCGTCACTGAAGGGACAACATCATTATACAGTATGTTAAGGAACAACATCATTACATTGACTCTAAGCTGAAAATAAATATAGTGACAATTTCATGGAAACTTCAGCTGGAAACAATGAGTGTGGTTTATGTACCACATCTAATTTATAGAAAAACTAGGTAGGGTCTTAGGAAATATTAAGAAATAATAAAGAAGGCAAGAATTGGCCTATTGCATCATAAGAGCAAGGGTCACATTCATATATAAGGTTCATTTAAATAATGAAAACATGTACCACCTCTGTTTAAAAGGAACATTACTTTTAAGAGGAAATTAAATATCTAAGAAGAAAAGCAAAAATTACAGAGTTGCTTTATAATACAGTTCAGAAGTTTGGAACACACCATGGAAAGTAGTTTCTAACAGATAGCTTCAGCACTGGTTTTACAAAAAGTAACTTGGCACTTTTTTCCTTATTAGTAACATGTCACTAATCTTAGCAAAACATGATTTCTTAATTAATTTGCAAACCACTTAAAAATACAAAAATCCTCCCCAATTCTGTCCTAAAAACAAATGTTTGGAGCTACAAGTAAACATTCCTTGCTACACCGAAACACTGATGATATTTCCAGCCACTCCCTTTGTCTTTGCTATCCACTCATCTACCCCCAGATGTGTTACAGGCAACATTGTTAATTTATCATGTTACTTCCAAGTCCTGAGGATCTCCTGCTGTTAAATGGGGGGAAAGGGAATGCAAAATAGATATTCATTTTAAAGAAATAATGTTCAGTTTTGCAGTTTGATTTGAACTTAATGTAGTAGATGCACAAGTACAGCAAGTGGAATCTTACCATCTACAGCCAGTGAGACAACATCTTGGGTATCTTCAATCCCATACATGACGTCACAGCGGTAAATTCCAGCATCACTTGCCCGCAATTTCACCATAGTCAATGATGCATCTCCAATATCTTCTGGGTGGCTTGGAACGGATACTCTCCCTTTATAGCCTTGTCCTATCTTGATATTCCCATTCTGAGCCACCAAAACTGTGGTTTCTTTCAGGTCTTTCCCACCTTTGTCCTGTTCAATCTTTGACCACTTAATCCGGAGAAATTCACTTGTGTTCTGGTAGCTGGGAGGCAAAGTAGGTAGGGTTGAAAAGAAGCATGGGAGGATGGCTCTTCCAGCGAGCGAGCCCTTCACTGGTGGGCTTTTTTCCACTTTAACTGAAAGGAAAAAAAACACAATATTGAAGAATTGGTAAAAGATAATATACAGATAATCCCAAAGCAACAATACCCTTTTCATTAGTGCAGTTTAGAACTCAAACACTAGTGAGAATAAACCAGAGTGGGTGGATAACAAGTGTAGAGAAACAATAAGTTGTTCCAAATTCCATAAAAAAATTAACAAATACAAAATCATGCCATGTCCAGAAATTTTGTATTATGTTCTCAACACTAGTCTACTGAATTCCACCACCATCTCAAGTGACATTTCAAATCTTTTCTAGGATCACATGAATGCAGTCAACATGAACCGTGGAATCAAATTTATTCAGGGAATGAGTGTTATACCCTGGTAGCTAGGGGCCAAAACAACAACATTTTCCAACTAGAGGTAGAAAAAAACTTAAGCAGTTAGTAATAGCCATGTGCCATCATGTCAATTCTGCCTTATGGTGACCTTTTCCAAGGTTTTCCAGGTAGAAAATACTCAGAAGTGGTTTACCATTTCCCTTCTTCTGAGGGTGCCCTGGGATTGTTCATCTCCCTAGAGACACAGCGGAGAACTGAACTCTCAACCACTGGCTGGCTCTGCAGCCGGACACCCAAGCCTCTGAGCTATCCAGCCAGCTTTTTAAAATGGCTCTCTTGGGCTCAGAAGTGGTGATTAGCTTGCTTTTATTTGGTGATTCGGAGAGAGGAGATGTTCTGCTGCATTTTACAAAGACAGCCACATTGAAGATGGCTCACGTGGAGGTGTTAATGTGTTGTCACCATGCCAAATGTGAAGCTGCTTGTTTTGGCCCTCAGAGTTTGAATGCTGAGAGTTTGTCCTAGAAAACACACAAAAGACGTCGGGGGGCAGGGGGGAGAGAAGGAAGGAAAGAATGAAAGTGAAGAACAGAAAAAGAGGTGCACAATGATGGCTATGAATGTGTCAACAAAATCTTCGTAAAGCACCCTCTGAGAAGCACTTGAATTTCTTTCCTTTGTTGTGGAATAAAGAGAAGACACAAAAAGCAGGTAACACAGCTTCAATGCTGTCCATTTTAAAACTTTTAATGACAAATTTCTCAGATTGCTTTTTTCAATACAAGGAAATTTAAAGAAGAGATTTGTAATACTGCCTTCTGAGAATTCTTTGCTGTTGCCTGTTTCATGTCATGATTAATCAGAATGAGATAACTGCCTTGGGTAGGTTTTTTTAAAATGTTTATTTCTTTTTTAAGAAAGCAATCAATAGAAAACAGAGATCCAAGTAAATAAGAGCGAAGAACTACAAGTTAGGTTATCATGAAAGGGCAGCAATATGTCACAACTGCATTTTTACTTCCAGGGAAAGGAATGAGGTTGTATTGTTTTTTGTTTTTTGCCTCAGGCATCAGAATAACTTTTCTGGTCTAGAAGACTATCTACCATGACCTTGAGAAGGGAAGACCATTTCTGGCTGTGCTAGCTTTTCTGCATATCACCGACCAACCTCATTGATGGCCATTTCTAATACAACCAACTTGCATAAAAAAGATAAGACTCTTGTTGGTGTAATTAAAATCTACAGTGGTGCCTTGCTTAATGAGCGCACCCTTTAACGACAAATCAGCATAGTGATGTCGCTTTTGCGATCGCATTGCGATGTTTACATAGGCAAAAACTTGCATTGCGATGATCGGTAAGCGTTTCGCTTACCGATCTTCGCATTGCGATGTTTTTTAAACAGCTGATCGGCAGTTCCAAAATGGCCGTCGGGTGCCCAAAATGGCCACCGCAAGTGTTTTCGCACCCTGCCCTCGCTTTCCGAGGGCGCGAAAATGGAGGCGCTATAGAGGAACTTCGCTGAACGGTGAGTTTGGTCCCCATAGGAATGCATTAAACCAAGTTTAATGCGTTCCTATGGGTTTTTTTGATCCGTTTAGCGATGTTTCTGCATAGCGACGATTAATCCGGAACGGATTAACATCGCTATGCAGGGCACCACTGTACTTCAAATGCATGGCAAAGGGTTCACACTAGAGATGGGCATGAATCAGAAAATTGTGATTCATTTTGATTTGTGATTCTTCAATGTTGTAATGAATTTATGATTTTTTCCCCCTGATGAATCGATTAGTTATTCATTTTGCATTTAAAACCATATAAAATCACCCTACAGGAACCTAGTTGCAGAGAACCTTCCCCTGACTCTTCTGTACAACCCAACCAAGTTTGGTGAATATTGGGTTTCAGACATCCAAGTTATACATCCACAAAGTGGGTCTCCCCCAGGAAAGTGCCGTTTAGCAGGCAGCTTGGGGAAACTCCAATCTTTGCCAAACTTGGAGGGATTGTGGAGGAGAGTCAGGGGAAGCTTCTCTGCAATTTTGGTGTCTCTAGGTGCCTGGAGTGACGAGGGGAAGCTTCTCTGCAATTTTGATGTCTATAGGTGCCTGGAGTGGCATTTCATACCACAACAAATCACATCAAAAATCATTAACATTCATTGATTTGTATTCACCAGGGGCATCAATTTGGATGAATATGAATCAATGAAATAGCTATTTTTAAAAAATTAATTTTGCAATTCATTTTTAAATTCATGCCCATATTTAGTTCACATGACTCTAACGTGGACAGCTGCATGTATGAAATGGACCACATAAAAAGAAATTACCATGCACATGTCCCTGTTGTTCATGGCCATGGTCAGTTTTTACAAGGACATATTGTATCACAAATGGGTAATATCACCCCCTTTCTTTGTAAATATTTAACCTTCTAAATGCATCCCTGCATGAACAATGCAGTTGTTTTCCTGTCATAATGAAATTTGCAGCTTATGCCAAGTTCCCAATGAGACTCCCAGCTTAAATGAAGTGTACAGTTCTTCCCATTCATGTCTGTGCCTGCTGATATGGCACAAACTATTCAGGGAATTAGGGCTATTAGAACTCGATATGGTTATATAGCAGTTGCTATTGTTGTCATGTGCCATCAAATCACTTCTGATTTGTGGTTACACTAATAATGGTTTCAAGGTGCGTAAGATTTTCAAGGAGAGGTTTATTATTGCAACCGCAACCATAGCCCACTGAGTTTCCATGGCTCAGCAGGAATCTGAACCCAGATCCCCTGGTGCAACATACTATCCACTATACCACACTGGCACAAGAAGAGGCATACCTCTCAATATCTGTCATTATTAAATACAAGATAGAGGATGTAGTTACATTAAAATCTGGCTGGATAGCTTCCCAAAGTGTAAAAAAGTGCTGGACTAGATAGGCTTCTCGTCTCACACGGTGCACCTCTTCCAAACTCGCTTAAACTCAAGACTGAAACATGATATGCAAATAGTATTTGGTTCAAATAAATGAGACAGATGACAAGGCATGATTCTGACCATTGTACTCTTGGAGAATATTACTGAGGTTCCTTGTTGCAAAATTATCTATTAATTTTAAGTGTGTTAATTTATTTTTGCCATATCTGTGGGGAAGCAGCTACATTTGTAAAGACTTACATGCGTGCGCGCATGCACACACACATATGCCACTCCAACCAGCTATTTATTCCCTTTCAGTCAATGCCTCTTCAACTTCAGCTTTTAAAGTATTTTTGAAAATATATATACCTTGGCATACACACACATATATAGTTCATATACACTCTGTGTGTGTGTGTGCATATAGATATATTGTTCTTCAGTTATATGCTAAATCCTGAGATATATACATTAGAAGAAATGAGACTCAAATAGGAATTGAAGACCATGGATGATCCCTTCTTGACATTTACAACTGCAAACACTTCACAGCAAAAACAACAACATCCAATTGACTATCTTTAGACAGACTGCTCATTAAGTTATTTAACGCAGATCAGAAAAGTATCTTTTGGGACTGACATACACAGGAGAGAATGAAGAAAATGAAAAATGATTCTAGGAGATCTCTCCCCTACTTAAGAAAAAATACATCACAGAAGTTATGATGGCCTGTGAAAGACCCCATTCTTACTTCAAATGTCATGTCTAGACAGACAATAGATGTGCCCTGTCTTCAGACGTGTGTGAAAATGAACCAGCTTTGTAGTGATTGCAGAGTTGCCCCTGCCACAAATCCTTCATGTTAAATCCATAATTTAAAAACAAAAATAGTTGTGCTGCAATTCCAAGTGAGGAATCATCATTGCTAACAGGGATCTGCATGCTGTAATTTTGTCCTCTTTCTTTTTTCCTATCCTATGTAGTTTACTAAATTTCACCCCAGTAGGACTGTGTGTGACCACCTGCATTCTTCTTGGATGGGCTTTCAGAAGCTAGGTAAAGGTTATTGCACTACATGCTGTGTTTCTTTTACCCTCTCTGCCTTTTTCTCCCTTTGCTGGCCTTGGTGAAGTGATAGTGCGAATACTATTGCCTGCTGGCCTCTGTGCCATTACCAGAAGGGTGCTTAAAGATGGAAGTAAAATCCTGCTGTGTGTCTCTCCTTTAGAATTTGAGGTCTACCACACCCCAGAAGGGACATGGTGCCATTGCGGGTGCTGTGGTGCTGCAAGGTCGGAAGACCTGCAGTTGTAAGATCAAATCCACATGACGGAGTGAGCTCCTGTCGCTTGTCCCAGCTCCTGCCAACCTAGCAGTTCGAAAGCATGTATAATGTAAGTAGATAAATAGGTACCATCATAGTGGAAAGGTAAGTGTTCCATGTCCAGTCGTGCTGGCCACGTGACCATGGAAACTGTCTATGGACAAATGCTGCCTCTACGGCTTGGAGATGGGGATGAGCACCACGCCCTAGAGTCAGACACGAATAGACTAAATGTCAAGGGGAACCTTTACCTTTACCTTACACCCCAGAATTGTGGTGCCACCTGCAAACCAAGCCACACTTCTTTATGTTACCATATTAGCAGAAGTGGGCATCTTCACAGACATCTGAAAACACATGGACTAAGACAAGGGGGGGGTCACATTGTTCCTAAAGGAGTGCAAGCTGTGTTGAGTACCAATCTGTGTGCCCACA